ACATTCCTTAACTTATAGATGCATCACTCTAATACTGTATCTTCACATGGTATTCTCACTGTGTGCCTGCACATCATCTTCCTTCTATGCATGTCTGTCTCTGTGTCCAGACTTCCCCTTTTTATAAGAACCCCAGTCATAATGTGTCAGGTCCCACCCTAACAACCTTATATTAACTTGATTATCTGTATAGATAGCCGATTGCCAAATAAGGTCACATACTGAGGTACTGGGGGTTAGGAGTTCAACAAAACTTTTTGAGAGGACACAATTTAAGATATAACAATGTGTAATAAGCTTCACTGAAAAACTACAAAACAGGGCCGGCCCGGTGGCGCACTGGATAAGTACGCCGCTTGGGAAGCGCGGCGGCGCTCCCGCCCGAGGGTTCGGATCCCACATACAAACCGGTTCCCGCTCACTGGCTGAGCGAGGCGCGGGAGCAACACCGAGGGTTGCGATCCCGTTGCCGGACACGGAAAAAGACAAAAGACAAAAAAAACAAAACAAACAAACAAAAAAAAACTACAAAACATTACTAAGAGAAATTGAAGAAGACCTAAATAAATGGAGTTAGACTATCTTCATAGACACAAGGGCTCTATATTAAGACCTCAATTCTCCCCAAATTGATCTATAAGTTCAATGCAACCCCAATCAAATGCGTAACAGGCTTTCAGTAGAAACTGACAAGTTAATTTAAAAATTTATGTGGAAATAGAAAGAACCTAGAATACCCAAAGCAATCATGAAAACGAGTAAAGAAGATGGAGAACTATTACTACGTGCCTCCAAGACTTACTATAAAGCTACAAGTAACCAAGACAGTGAGGGCTGGCCAGTTAATTCAGTGAGAGCATGGTGCTGATAACACCAAGGTCAAGGGTTCTGATCTCCATGTTGGCCAACCGCCAAAAAAAAAAAAAAAAAAGAAAAGAAAAAAAAGGACTCCTATGGCAAGGCTCAGAATACAATACAATGGAAGACAAGCTGTATCCTCGGAAACCTAACAACTCCTTGAATGGAAAAACTTCATGGAACTGTATCACTCAAGACAGCAAGAAGACAAACTGGGCTTTCCAGGACAGCCCTGTTTCCAAATAATTAGGTCTGTGGTCAGGCCAAAAAAAAAAAAAAAAAAAAAGAAAAGAAAAGAAAAAGACTGTGTGACAATAACATTAGAATTAACAAAAAGAGCAATGGAATAGAATAGACCCACACTTACAAGAAAAGTCTTTTCAACAAATGGTGCAGCAATAATTGATGTCCACATGGGAAGAAGTTAACTTCAACCTTTATCTCATATAATTTGCAAAAATTAATTTGAAATGGATCATAGATCTAAACATAAAAGCTATAACTATAAAGCTTATATAAAATAACATGATTATCTTTGCATGAGTGCCTGAGGGTAGGTAAATTTTTCTCAGATAGGCCCACAAAAAGCAATAATCATAAAAGGAAGTAGACTTCATGAAAATTTTAAATTTCAGCTTGTACCGGCTAGCCCCTCCGCCCCCACCCAAAAAAATTCAGCTCATCAAAAGACATATTTAAGAAAATGAATAAGCAAGCCACAGACTAGGAGGAAATATTCACAAAACATATCTGGCAAAGTACTGGTATCCAAAATATATAAAGAATTCCTACAACTTAATGATATAAACACCTTAAGGGGCAAAAGATTCAAACAGACACTTTACAACAGAAGATACAAAAATGGTCAATAAGCACATGAAAAAGGACTTAACATTGGGAAATACAAATTAAAATTGCAATGAGATACTACTACAAACCTACTAGAATAGTTAAAATTAAAAAGATAGTTAACACCAAAAGTTGATGAAGATGTGTGGAAACCAGAGTCAGAAAACATAGATCACAAAACATGTACAAGAATCATCTCAGCAACTTTATTCATAATAGCCAAAAGCTGGAGCCAACTGAAGTGTCATCAACTGGAGAACAGCCAACAAAATATAGCATAGTCAAACGGAATGATACTTAAAGAAACTTGCACAAAAGAATACACACTGTATGATTATTGTTGTGGGTTGATTTATGTTCTCCAGAAAGATATGTTGAAATCCTTACCTCCAATAACTAAGAATGTAACCTTATTTGGAAACAGAGCTGTTGTAGATAAAATTAAGTTGTGTTCATACTGTAGTAGGATGGGCCCAGTCATACTGGTGTCCTTATAGAATAGGAGAGAGACACAGAGGATATGGCCATGGAAATACAGAGACACACAGGGAGAACTCCACCTGACGATGGAGGTGGAGATTGGGGTTATGCAGTTGCAAGTAAAGGAACACCAGAAGCAAAGAGATTGCAAGCAACATCAAAAGCTAAGAGAAAGGCATGGAACAGACTCTTCTACAGCCTTCAACAGTACACATCCCTGCTGACACCTTGACTTTGGACTTCTAGCCTGTAGAACTGGGAGATAATAAACTTGTTATATTAAGCCACCCAGTTTTTGGTACTCTGTTATGATGTGAATAGAATTCTATTTATATGGAATTCAAATGAAGTTCCAGAACAAGTAAAACTCATCTATGATGGAAAATAAAAACAACAGCTGACTTTTGATGGGCTGGTAGTAGGAATTTGAAAGGGGCATGAGAGAACTTTCAGGGGTGATACTAATGTTCTGTGCTTTGATACAATTTTGTGTTAGAAATGGTTATACAGTACCTTCCTCAGTGAAGGTACAATTAAGACTTTATTTCATTATATGTAAAGAAAAAAGTTGTAAGCTAATATTGATCTCTAATAATATGCATACTTACATATTTAGGGGGGAAGTGAAATAAAAAAAATAAAGTAAAGATGGATGGATGAATAGGTGAAATGATACACAGCAAGTATACCAAAATGTTAACTGCCACATGCAGTTATAGGTATGAGTGTTCACTATAAAATTCTTTCAACTTTTCTGTATGTTTAGAATTTTTCATAATAAAATGTTGAGAAAAAATGAGTATACTACGAAAACCACTAAAAAACAAAACCAAAAAAACCAAGCATTGGCAAGGATGTGGTGCAACTATAACTCTCATACACTATTTGTAGGAGTGGCTTTTGGTAAAACCACTTTGGAAAACCAATACCCACCGAGGTGTGGTCTTAAGCTCTACTACACATTTAAACTCAGAAAATCACCGTGGGCCACTTTTGGCATCAGTCTAACAGCATGAAAGCAAGGCAGCCAAGTTAGTCTTTGCTCCACAAAAGCCAACATCTCTTGTAACAACCATACAGGCACAATTCCCCACAAGGAACATGTCCAATTACAATAGCCACTATACTTGGAGAAGCACAAAGGCCAGTATCCCAATCAGTATTTGTAATTCCTCCCAGTGGACAGGAAATTTGTCAATTAGGGATCACTTTTACCATAAGTAATGTTGCATACTAAAATCACTGACATTCTTACATTCATTAGGTTTTCAGAGAAACAAAGCTAGGGATTTAATCAAAGGTTAGATTCTCATGTAGCACAGGAAAGGATTTTACTTTACCCACACCTTAAAACTCCAAAATTCCACTCCTAGGTATACAATATATCCAACAGAAATGTAGACAAATATTCACCAAAATTCATGTGCAAGAATGTTCACAGTAACACTATTCATAACAGCAAAAACTAGAAAACAGCCCAATATCAATGGACACAGAATTTACCATTGCTTTCACGATTTGATATCCATGCAACGTAATACTGCACAGCAATGAAAGTAAGCAAACTACAACCATATATATGGATCAATCTCACCAAATAATGGTGAGCTAAAGAAGCCAGGCACGACAGTACAAGATTCCACTTTCGAAAAGGTACAAAAACAAGCAAAAGTAATCTATGGTTTACAAGTCAGGATAGTGGTTACAGGGATGGTGAGTGAACAGACTGAAAAGGGGCAACAAGGATGATTCAGGAGTTCTAGTAAAGTTCTAGGGCTTGACCAGAATCCTGGTTACACAGATGTGTTCACATCTGTGTGTTATACTTCTGTAACACTTACATGAAAAACAAAGTGAGGAGGTCTATAACAATGAGTGCAGAGACCTGCAGACCTGCTCTCCAACTAAACAACCATAACTGGAGAAAGTTATAAAAAACTGACGATATAAACTCCCTGAAAATTATCCTAAGAGCAACAGCTAATGATGAAACATTTCAAAAAAATCTACTAAATCTCACCAAGAAAAGTAAGTCTGTGGCACTTGAGCCACAATGTACTCCCTCCCTTCACTCTCAGCGCAGCATGCCAGAAGCTCCACTCCAGGTGGGTGGAGCCAAGATAGAGCTCTCTGTCTCCCCATCTCCCAGGAATGGGTTATAGCATTCATCTCTACCCTACCCCTACCCCAAGGAGCAGACTGTCAGCATTTCTCATTACCCCCAGCTCAATGCTACAGAGGCTAAATTCCAAGTGAGTGGAACTGAGAGGCTGCGGCTTCCTTTCCTCCTTCCAGTTCCCACTCATAGAGTGGAGGCTTTACCCCAGACAGCTACAGGTAGAGAATACTGGGACCCCAGTAACACTCATCCCAGCTTACTCATAGGGTGAAGGTTCTGGGAGGCACAAATCAAGAAGACCAGAGGCTACCAAGCCTGCCCAGTGCCCTGCTCACAAAGAGAGAGGTAAACCATTGTCTCCACTTCCAGCTCCAGAGCAGTGCGTTCAGATATTTGGGATGGGGGGTAGGTGTAGGTCCTAATAACTGAAAGCTCCAACAGATCTCCCCCAAAGCAACTGACTTTATTTAGAACAGAATGCAGCTTGGGCATTATAACAATGGACAAAATCTTGCCCTTGACTTTGACATTTTGGGGCCCATAAAACCCCAAACCCTCGAGAACAATTTAGGCAAATACTAGTTTGGGGGGTTTGTTTTCATTTGTTTCCTTTTTCTTAAATGGAGAAAAATGGTGTTTCACTTTTTAAAGGATTTTGTTCTTTCAGCTAATAAACACGCTGGGTTTTACTCACCGATTTCCTCCGTTTCTTGCCCAGAGGCTCTAAGCTTGCATTCCTTCGGATAGTGTTTTTGAATTATTTCCCACAGTTCCATGTTGACAAGGGAATTTTTTCGGGTATGGTACCGAGCCCACGAAGAGACCCGGCGACGACAGAAGGGACAGCATAGATTTGCCTTTTCGACAGTCGACTGGAAGCACGGACTACAGAGCGTGTGGTTACAAGGGAGGGTTATGGGCTCGATTAAGATTTCCACACAGATCTGGCACTGACATTCCGACAAGGAAGGGATGGCGTCTCTGGGTACAGCCATTTTAATATGGTCATAAGAGCTATTCAACATCAACACCTGAAAGAAAAAGAATCATATTTTCGGCCAACTACAGAGAAAGCAAATTAACAGATCTGTGTTAAATATTATGACCAGCAACATATCAGAATTTGGAGAGTAGGAGCATCATACACGTCTTGAAGCAAAAAGGCGCTCTGAGGGTCAAACAGTAATACTCTGGAAGGCGCTGTATTTGCCCATTTTTAACACAAACGTCCAGCAAGAAAACAAATGAACATTCGCTCGAGAGAGCTTGGCCGCGCCGAGACATTAACACCCGTTTTGCGGCAGGGAGACGGGTGGGCTCCGGCTCCCTGGCGCAGCGGGAAGTACGCGCCAAGTTCCCCTCCTCGCTCTCACCAGCTGAGAACGCTCTCCTCTCCTCCGAGTAGCCAAGCTCCGGACCGCGGCTCCAGAACGCTGCTTCCGCCGGACGCTGGGCTCCGCGGGAGCAGAACTTCCGTTTTACCGTTGCTGTGGGGCGGAGCACGCGAGCCCGCGCGTTCCAGCCTTCGGGCGCCCGGTGCAATATCCCGCAGCTCGGCGCCCGGCCCCGCCCTTCCCCTGTTCTCTCGTTTGTCAACCAAAAAGCCTATTCGTTGCGGTGGTGCCGTAGCAACCGGACAACGGCGAGTGACGTCACAACTGCCCGCCAAAACGGCACTTCCTATCCAGAGAACTGCCCAAGGACAGACGAGTCTAAGTTTCGGCTGGGCGGGACTTCCGGGGCCGCACGCACCGCACCGCCCCCCGGCCTGGGAGAGGACCCCGCCCGGTCTCGCCCCGTCTCGTCGGGTCTCGCCCCTCGCGTCCCGTCGCGCCGTGCCCTAGCGCCACAGCTCCTCCTGGTTTAGCCTGGGTAGACCCCGATCTCTTCCTGAGATTTCTCCTCGTAGAGGTTGTAGGAACTTTCGAAAGTCGCGAGACTGGCCAGAAAAAGAGAAACTTCATAGTAAAAGACCCGAGTAGTAATTTTTGTAATTCTTCCCTCGGTACTCTTCAAACTACTTTTTTGTTTCTTAATTCTATTAAGGGGACTAAGCCCCTTAGGTCGTTTTGCAAAGTTCTTAGAAAAGCATCTCGGAGAAAGGTTGTGGTCAGAGAATCCGCAAACCTGGGACAATTTAACAGACATTTAAACTACCTTCTATAGTCCAGCCCCTAAAGTATGCGCCCCAGAGATAGATTGTTTTAGGATTGCTTTCCGTTCCAAGCGTTTGAGGCTTGGGCAAGAGACTTCAAGGCTGTGTCAGTCCTGGGGCTTAGCTGTTTACGTCATGTGCATCATTTATATAACATGCTACTTTATTAATTTTTTTTAATTTTAATTTAATTTAATTTTATTTTATTTTATTTTTTACCGGTAAGGGGATCGCGACCCTAGGCATGGTGTTGTCCGCACCACGCTCAGCCAGTGAGCCCACCGGCTGTCCCTATATAGGATCCGAACCCGCGACCTCAGAGTTACCAGCCCCGCACTCTCCGGAGTAAGCCACGGGGCCGGCCCTACTTTATTAAATTTCAATCTAGAACAATCAAAACTCCACAATAGAGGTTAACAAGAATATAGTTTCACATTTTATACTCGCCCCACCACCCTGGCTGGCCGCTATGGGGATCGAAACCCTTGTCCTTGGGGATACCAGCACCATGCTCTAACCATCTCAGCTAACCAGCCAGACCTAACTTTATGGATTCTGAAGTACGTTTTTCCACTTTGGCATTAACTTTTTGAACTGACAACTGATTTTATAGAATTGAGTTCTATGAAAAAGGCAGAATTTGGCTAGGAAAATCATGGGGAACACACAAAGAATGTGATACCTAGTACTTAACAACCAGGCCTGGGTTTTTTTAAGGAAATATGAAATAGGCATGGAGGAAGAGAAAAGAAAATCACTGTGCATGAAAATGGAATTTTAGGTCTTTTGGGTTTGCTAAGGGCATGGAGGTTGGGACAAAACATTGAAAAAGACCATCCTTTCTCCACTGTTACTCAGCATCACCTTTGTCATAAATCTATTGTCAGTGAATGCTTGATCTATGTTTCTAGACTGTGTTGTGTTCCGTTGTGCTGTTTGCACATGTTTTCACCAACTTCCAAATTTAATTTTATAGCGTCTTGATATCCAGGGGTTTAAGTCCTCCAGTGTTGATCTTTACGATTATGTTAGTTACCCTTATCTTTTTTATTTTTATTTATTTATTTATTATTTTATTTTTTTTTAAAGATGACCGGTAAGGGGATCTTAACCCTTGACTTGGTGTTGTCAGCACCACGCTCACCCAGTGAGCTAACCGGCCATCCCTATATGGGATCCGAACCCGGGGCCTTGGTGTTATCAGCACCGCACTCTCCCAAGTGAGCCACGGGCCGGCCCAGGGAGCTTTTGTAATAATGTGGGTTCAGAAACCTGTGGTCCTCATCCAGTTGTCTACAGTATCATTCCCTTAGCTTGGAATTCCAGACTTCCTAATAAGTCCACCACCTGCTTTTCCCATGGAATCTCCCACTATTCTTTCAAAGATTCAGTTATGATCTATTCACTGTCATCAAAATCTTGTGCTTTTGTGCCATTGCTTCCTCAATTCATCCTAAATGGGTTGCTCTGTGGCCTTGCCTACTTCAAGGATCAATTTAATGTACTTGCTCCAGGAAGTATTTCCCCAGCACACAGTGATACCCCTCCTTATCTTCTTTCTTCCAGGGTATGATTTCTCCAAACAGTGTGTCTGAAGAATGACAAGACTGAGTGAATGTACCTGCCAAACAACCTGTGGTGTCTCTTGTGGTTCATCTTCAACGGTAGCAAAGCAAGGTAACACTTCACTTGGTATTACTATTAGGCCTCACGGCTAGCTTAACATCGACACAGCCAGGTTAAGCAGCTTCCCCCCACCCCCTTCCCTTTTCTGCTCCAGGAACCGAGCAGCGAAATTCCTCTCTTGAGAAGGGGTAAACATGACCGTTGTCATCAAAGGAACGTGATAGGCTTTGGGCTGGAGCCTTTGCACTGATATAGTAACGACACTAATTAGAAGCCTATGCCCTAACTGACCAGGTGTTAGCAGACTACAAGGGCTGTCACCTTGCACACCACTGATTTTGAAATGGCCCATTACTCTTCCAGAACTCTCAAAAGCTTATAAACGCCTGCTTTTCTTTGTTCGGAGGAACTGATCTGGCTCAGTCTCCCCTCCACATCAGTGGAATAAAGCTTTTTGGCTGAAAGCACCTGGTTCAGGTCTCTCTCTCTTCTCCATCTCGCTGAACCTACCAATTACTTCACATCTTTCTCTACCTAACTTCCCTCCAATGTGTTACCCTGCTCACGCTGTCCTGAATTTGCACTTCCCAAATAAAGCATCAGCACTTAATCCTTGCCTTCTGGTGAGGATCCATGTTTTTTAATGTGTCTGTTATTCACAGCATCTAGCACATGGCATTTGGTGTTTGCATTAGTCCGTGTCTGTTGTTATAACATACATACCTGAAATTGGATGGTTTACAAAGAAAATGAAATTTATTTGCTTACAGTTTCTGAGTCTGGGAAGTCCAAAATCCATCTGGTGGTGGCGACAGTGACCCAAGGGTCTCACATTATAAGACAGTGGAAGCAGAGAGAGCAGAGAGAGACAGACTCTCCTTTTCTTTTAAAGCCCTCAGAACCATGTCCCTGACCACCATTTTTAATCCATTCACTACTGCATGATCCTACAGTCCAATCACCTCTTCAAGGTGTCACCTTTCAATTATCATAATAGGATTTCCCAGCCTGTTCACACTCACAGTGGGGGCTAAGTTTCTAATACGTGAAACTTGGGGGGCACAATTCAAGCGTCAATGAATTTTGGGGGGACATAATTCAATCTACTACAGTGTTCAATAAATATTATAAATAAATGGTCAATGTATGAGAATTCTCTTTTTAGTACAAATAATTATGGTACTGTACTAGAGAGCAAATGTACATCAACATACAATTTATAGCATCTCATAATATATATGTTAAGTGTTTTTTACTGTTTGTCTTTTAATAGGTGAAACATTTGCATGGTTCAAAATTCAAAATGTATAAAGTGGATTAACAGTGAAAAGACTTCCTCTTACCTTTGATCCCTAGCGTCTTTGTTTTTTCCTAAGACAACTAATATTGTCATTTTCTTATATCTCTCTGCAGAAGAAACTTATGGCTGTATAAGCTAATAATTGCTATTTATATATATTTATATTTGTTTTTGCCCCTTTTTCCACTTAACAATATATATTGGAAACAAATATTTTAAAACAACATCATAGTGATAACTCCGTATTATTACAGAAGAGCATCATTCTTTTACATGACTATACAGAAAGTGTCCATTTTATCAATATATCATAATTTCTTTAACACTCTTCTCACTTTTTGCTGTAATAAGCCTGCAATATTTTTTTTTTTTTTTTTTTTTTGCCATTTGCAAGATAAATTACTAGAAGTTGAATCATTGGGTCATACGGTAACAGGTTAGTTTTTGACTGATGGTATCAACTCTTTTAGGAATGACTTTTGTTCTTCAGGGGTCCTCACTGCTTTCCCCTTCTCAATGACCTGAACAGCCCTCAGCAAACCATCTTGAAGAGCCTGGTTCTTTACCATGTTAGTGATCATAAGTGTGACATCCCTGATGTACATCGGTCTCACTTTAGTAGCATAGTGTTCTGCCTTGTTACCATGTGCAATAAAGAAGGTACAAAGTGCTGTGATATCTCCTTCTTGCAGCCCACATTCCTCCAGCACAGACTCCCACACAACTCTAATGTGCTTGTTCTTGACTTTTCGTCTAAGAACAGATGCTAATGTGGGAAGACCTCTCACTAGGTCTGGTAGCTTCTCAAGGACACGAGTGTGCAAACAGGTAAGTACTTCAATGATGTAGCTGTATAAAATATTCAGTTCCATTGAGGTGAACCTACAAAAAATGTGGAGATTTTCTTAAGCAATAAAGCACTTTATGTACAAGCATAAAATGAATTTTGTTAGGATTACTCAATATTAACCCACTAGGCGAAACAGTTGTTGTATTTTTAAAAATAATTACTTTATAATTAGAGCCTGTACTAAACTGGATAGCTGAGTTCTCAGTCCACTCATACTAGTTCCTCAGTGGCAGGAGATTTATAATATCCATCTCTGTTTTAATAAGACTTTGGCAAGCAAGGGATGAGTTGTGTACCACAGTACCTGGCATATGAACAGGTGCTAAATTAATATTTTTTGAATGAATGAACCGAAGAAAATGTAATTTCTTCACAATCATTTGTTGGAATCATATTAAGAAATTCTGTTTTGTAATGACCACTGGAAGCTCTCACAAAGCAGCCACAAAATTCCACTGGTTTTTCTACTGATACTCACTTAAGTGCCAAAACTGCTGTCCACATCTCATCTTGGGCTGCTTGGCTTGCCAAAGTCTTGCTATGATGTTCAAATTTCTGTGTCAGATTATCCTTGGCAAAGTCCAGTTCTTTGAACTGTGCTTCTAAAACTTGGAGTTTCTGGTCTACTCTATAGGATAAAAGAATCAAAGGTTAGTTTAAATTGGGACAAAATTAAGGTTTTGCCTTAAGCTAAGGCTCTAATTCATTATTTACAACCACTACCAAATTTGGGTAATTATTTAAATTTAAAATTATGAACAGATGTTCACATTTGCCATTTCCTCTAGCTATCCTCCTTGCTCTTTCATTTCTTATATTGCCAAACTTTTGAATCATCTGCTCGTTTGAATTATCTGTCTTTGTATTTATTGTCTTTGTATTATACTTTAAGCCTTAAAGAGTATTTTATACAAGCACTACTTTGATTTCACAATAACCATACGAAGTGAAGAAGTCATTTTTACTATTATACAGATAAAGAAATTGAGTTTCAGAAAGATTGAGACATAATGCCATATAGCTAGCTAGGGCTGGGACCAGTATACAATTAGGTGGCTTTCTCTATCCTAGTCTGATTGTTCAACTCCTATCCTTCCTTCACCGGTCAGCTAGAATTCCACTGCCTTCTTGAAATCCTTCTCGACTTGGAGATCTCACCCTTCTACTTCTCTCTCACAGGGACTGCCTGTACTACCATCACTCTCTACTTCCTGCTTTATTTTATTATTATTACTATTTATTTTTATTTATGTATGTATTCTGTGGCTGGCCAGTATGGGGATCCAAACCCTTGGCCTTGTTGTTATAAAACCACACTCTAACTGACTGAGCTAACCAGCCAGCCTCTTTTTAGAATTAGCTTTTCATGAACGAATTCTTGTAAGTTCTTGTAAGCAAGTGGATCAGAGACTATTTCTTAGATATTTTTACTCCTGTCACTCAATACCTAGCAGAGGCCTTACACAGAAGTAATAAAGTATTTTGCATATGATTGACATCTGTGATTTGAGGGAGGTACTGAGCTGTGTAATCCAACATGGGGATTTGAGTAGTTCTGAATAGCCCTGATCATCAAAGGTGCTGTAACACCAGAATTATGTCTAATTGAACCACAAAGAACTGGAGTAACTTGACTCACTTGCCTGAAGCCACCCACTTTGTCTTTATGAAGGACGTGATGCACAAACACACATGCCACTTCTCTGAGCTTCTATTTCCCCAATGACTTGAATATCGTTATGATTACCCAGGGTTCTATCCTTGTTCATCTTGCCTTCTTGGCCCTCAGTTTCTACCAAAGCTAATTCAGTTTCAGGTACCACCTCTTTCCTAAGCTCTAGACTTGTGTTTTCAACTATGTTTTGCACATCTCCACCTGGCTGGAATGTCAAACTCAACTATCCTAAGCTGAACCTATTAACCCTCCCTCGCTCCCTCCCTCGATCTTTAGAAATTACTATGGAGGAATTTTCTCACTACTTTGAATTCTATTTACACATAGATAAGACTTGGTATAAAATGTGCATTTCATAGGAGTATTAGCCTGCACGACCTAATATGCCAGCAATCTCTGTCTACAAGTCAAAACCATATCATCTGGCATACTGTTTGTATTAATTTTTAGACCTTTAAGATTATATTGCTTATACGTCAACTCTAGAGACAAACTCAAGCTTGTCAATCAGTATAAAAGTTTACAATTGCAGCAGTTCTTTGGAATCCTCTCACCGAAGGGCAATCCCAGAATTCCAAATAAATCTTAAACAACATGCAAATCTGAGCACAGTCTCTTTTTTACTATAGTTCCCTAGCTCAGTTAATGACCTCACCATCTATCCAATTGCTTGAACCAGAAATTTCAGAATAATTCTCAACTTTGTTTTCTTTCTCCCATTAATGTCTCTCTAATCTATCCCCTCCTTTCCATCCGCACTAAACCAGTTCATCATCATCTTTCACCTGGATCTAGAATTACAGTATCCTAACTGGACCCCTGCTTTCAGTCTCTAATCCATTCTCCAGACACAATTCTTTCAAGACAAAATTCAGATCATGCAACTCAACTGATTTCATACATATGTGTGTGTGTGTGTGTGTATATATATATATATGTATGTATGTATCATATATAAGACAAAATTCAGATCATGCAACTCAACTGATTTCATACATATGTGTGTGTGTGTGTGTGTGTGTGTATATATATATATATGTATGTATGTATCATATATATATATATATATATACATATATATATATATCTTTTATGACAACCTGACTTGCCCGGTGATACATTTAGACCCAAACTGGATCTCCTCAGCAGAAAACAAAAAACCCTTTACCCTTTTGCCCCATCTTCTGCCGGTCTTCTCACATATCCTACTCACCAATCAACATGAGACATCTAGCTGTTGACTGAATACAGTATGTGATTCCAAGCTTATATATGGCTTACATGTACTGTTTCCACAGCCTAGAATTCCTTCCCATATTTTTCTTTCTCATAAACTTCTACTCACACTTTGAGATCCAATTTAAATGTCCCTCTATGAAGGGTTTCTTTTCCTAGTGTCAAAGGCAAAATTAATCTATCCTCCCTTCATGTTCTCATAGCCCTTTAGAAACATCAGCTTTATAAGGTCAATTTCATTAAATTAAAAGAAGCCACATTTTACTTATTTTTGTAAATCTAGCATTTAGCACATGCATAAATTGAATGGAGTTATAGTACCAGGGAGTAGATTTTTCTTCCTTTTTTTTTTTTTTGGCAGCTGGCTAGTATGGGGATCCAAACCCTTGACCTTGGTATTACAGCACCACACTCCAACCAAGATAACTGGCCAGCCCTCTTTATTATTAATTTACTTATTTCTTGAGCCTGGAAGACTTAAACCACTTTAACAGAGACAGAATTCTAATTAACATGTCTGTATTTCTTTGCTTATTTCTATTCTTCATTCTTCTTCTCTTACCCATCTTCACAGAATAGCAGACCCATGCTTGCTCCCTCCCTGTAGCCCTTAGCAACCTTTTCATAGCCTCCTTCAAGGACATCAGGGTTGTGGTTTCATTGTTCATCTTCTTAAGGCAAAATGAAAGGAAACAAAACAAAGCAAAACAAAAACCCGATAGATGTTCGAATCCAGGATTTTCTGCTGTGTTCCACTCAGCAACAGGCAGCAGCAGCATGAGCATTTGATCTAAATTCTGCCTGAAAGGTCATTCAGTACAAGAGGCTTTTAATAACTTGTACATCCAAATATAGCTTCAAAGAACTGCTTGTGTGAACACAGGTGTCCTGGAATGCACTATAACATTTGCCTTTGAAAACTGAACCATAGTACATCAACATAGAGCAACAAGCATATATTATTATGTCTCTGTATATTCTGGTAAATGTATATACAAATATATAAATGTATACATATACTAGGATTAAATTTGATGAAAATGTTACACTTATATTTTAACAGCTTCATTATTCAATTACAACCTAAATTAGGTTAAAAGAGTGCTCCAGATCTTTTATGATGATATCAAAACTAAAAATCTCACTAACCATTATTAGAAACTACTAAATATTTATTGAGAACTTGTAGTATTAGATTAGGAATTGGATATAAAAACACACATAAAACAGGATTCCTGTTTTCATGGAATTTAAAATCTAATTGGGGAGATAGAACATACACTTTTTTAAAAAGTACATAAAATGTCATGGGGTACATAGCTACAGACCATAAAAATCATAGAAGATGAGAAAGCATGTCAATGAAATCTTGGGTCAATAGGGAAATACTCACGTTCAACTTGGATTGGCCTAAAGGGAAATGTAGGTCTTTATTCTCAGAGAGGTGTATGAAGGATATTACAAACTGGAGAAGTTGTGTGAACAAAATCACAAAGGTGACAAGGTAAATGATGTCAATAAATGGGTATGTTTTCAGCAAAAGATTTAGGTGAGGTGCTCACTTCGGCAGCACATATACTAAAACTGGAACGATACAGAGAAGAGTTACATGGCCCTTGTGCAAGGATGACACACAAATTCATGAAGCATTCCATATTTTTCTATGTCTGGGCTTAGTTTGTTCTTCATTTTCTTGTTTCTTAAGGTGCAGATGTGATTGTTGATTTGAGATATTTATTTTTTATTAATGTACATTAACATTAAATACATTTCCCTTTTAGCACTGAAAAAAAAAAAAGATTTAGGTGAGGAAAAGAAAACAATAACAACATTTAAACTAATAAGAGCCAGGGCTGGCTGGTTAGCTCAGTTAATTAGAGCATGGTGTCATAACACCAAGGTCAAGGGTTCAGATTCCTTTATTAGCCAGCCACCAAAAAATAAAAATAAACTGATGAGCGAGGACATGTATTTGTTCATTTATTGGAAAATCGGATAAAATACTGTATCAGTTGTGTGTTTTTCAAATATTTTCTCCCACAGACTTTTTTTTATAACAAACTTGCAGCGTAGATCCTGCCTACTTTCTATTGCATAGAACAGATCTTTGAAAGAATGCTGTGCTCAAGAGCTAAACAGCAGGGCTAAGAAGTAAACAAATGATACATTGCTCTGCTCAAACAAGCCTTTAGGAAAGCAGCAGCAGTTGTTGTCCTAGAATGAATCAAGTAGCAACAATTGAATACTTTGGGTACTTTGGGTACTATAGTTTGAGTACTGAACCTACTTTCTATTGCATAGAACAGATCTTTGAAAGAATGCTGTGCTCAAGAGCTAAACAGCAGTGCTAAGAAGTAAACAAATGATACATTGCTCTGCTCAAACAAGCCTTTAGAAAAGCAGCAGCAGTTGTTGTCCTAGAATGAATCAAGTAGCAACAATTGAATACTTTGGGTACTTTGGGTACTATAGTTTGAGTACTGAAAAAACAGGGTAATGTTATCTCCAGAGGCTTCCTATCCAGGGAAAAGATCCAGGAGTTTTTGCCAGAGATCAAGTTGCCATTAGTAAAGTTACTAATGGCCACCTTGCTTTAAGAGATTTTGTAACAGTAGCACAAGCGGATGGAATTAGGATTTGTCAAAATGATACTTTTTGTTAAAGGGCTACCAACCTGGTTTTACTCACTGCACTTTGCTCACTGTACAATCTTTAAGAACGTGCATTCAACTCAGATATTTATCTACAACAAATGTCAGAGAAAGGGGTTCTTTAACTTGGAAATTTATAAAGGATACAGAAAAATTCATTGAGAATGTCTGAATCCATACTCTAGAATGAGAATTCCACACATTTTATCTGCTCCATCACCAGACTCAACCTTGCACCTGGCTTGGTTATCATACATAAGATCCAAACAGTACTGATTCTAGGCAGTCACTTCATTTGCTTGCAACCTGCTTGTGTTTATTTCCTTCTCCCACACTTCTAGATTCCAGTTTCTAAAACCTGGTTTTGCGGATCCCTATATCGGCCAGCAGCCAACAAAAGTAAAAATAAAAATAAAATAAAATAAAACCTAGTTTTGGTGTTGCCTCTAGTGTCCTGATTTTGGTGTCCTTCAAACCAAACTATCTTTGAGCTCTGATAAGATTGGTACAAATTCTTGTCTATCACTTATTAGCTACATGAGCTTGTGGAGGTTACTTAATATCTCTCAGTCTGTGTTTCTGTATTTGTAAGATGGGGATGGTAGCAGTATTGAAAAACCTTTAGAGAGATAAAACCTCACTTGCCCACAGAGAGGATCTGTTGTTAACACAACCTGTATCAGCATCCTTCCCTTCTCTGTCTCACTTTCCTACTTCTGTACTACATGTGCTTCCTGGAATCATCTCACAAACTATGTGCAATTCTTATCTCAGGTTCTGCTTCTGGGATAAACCAAATTAAGATTGTACCCTTACTTTCTGTGTGAGACATTTTTTATTCAAGCATCAATCTTAAATAACCCTAGCAGACACTACCAGCTAGATCAGCTATTGACCCCAAAATATGTGTGTTAGTTCAATTTTATTTTAACATATATATACATATTCATAGGCAGTGGGGGTGGGGAGATTCATGGAAGATTCCACGAAGGAACTGGTGGAAACCATACAAATGGTTTATTTACTTAAAATCTACTTAAGTTTTTTTGTTTTGTTTTTAGTTAGTAAGGTTGTTTTTAAACTAAGTATAACATACACACAGAAAGCTATTGGGCTGGCCTGTGGCTCACTTGGGAGAGCATGGTGCTGACAACACCAAGTCAAGGGTTAACATCCCCTTACCGGTCATCTTTAAAAAAAAAAAAAGAAAGAAAGCTAGATATCATAAGCATGATGATATCACACACTCATATAACCTTAACCCAAATCAGGAAATAGTATATTGCCAACATGCTTGAGCCCCTTCATGGCCCTTCCCAATTATTATTCTTCCTCTCTTCCCAAAAGATAACCACTATATTCTCATTATGTGTTAGTTTTGCTTGCTTTTGAATTTTTTGTAGATGGAATGATACAGTATGCATTTTAACAGCTTTATTGAGTTACAATTCATATATCACACAATTGACTCATTTTAAATGTATATTTAGAATATTCAGAGTTGTACAACCATCACCACAATCATTTTTAGAACATTTTCATCACCACAAAAAGAAGCCTTGTACCCATCGGCAGTCCCTCCCCATTTCCTTCTATTCCGCCCGCCACAATCCCCACTAGGCAACTACTCATCTTTCTTTCTTTTTTTTTTTTTTATTGTAACATAGTTGATTGTACATATCTGTGGGGTACACAGTTGAATGTCATTACCTGTGTGCAATACATGGTTCTCAAATCAGGATAATTAGTATACTCAACATTATACAGTGTAATCGTTTTTCTTGGCGCTTTACCAATTCCTCCCTTAACCACCTCCACCTCCTCCTTTCCCACCTCTGGTAACCTCAGTTCTGTTCTCTCCTTTTTTTTTTTTCCTTTTTGTCTTTTTTCGTGTCCGGCAACGGATCGCAACCCT